AATATTTAATCTTTGATGAGATTTTCCTGTGGCTTCCACAAATAATTGTTATGATCAATCACAGGTTAAACTACTGTTTGCTGGAGAACGACAAGTGTGCGATCAAATATTTGAAGGCTTCGAATCGCTTAGAGATCAATCCTTTGCCGAGGTTACAAGTAGTAGTGTGTCTGTGCTCTTCAGTTTTGGGGAGGCAATTGCTAAAAGCAAGAGGTCACCAGAAAAGTTGTTTGTACTTTTGGATATGTATGAAATAATGAGAGAGCTGCACTCAGAGGTATGGCTAATGTATGTTCATAATGATTAGTTTTCTCACAATCTAAGGTTGGAGTAATTTTGTGAGAATGAAAATGGTAGAACCAACCTTTTCAAACACTTGGAACGATAATTTTGATTTTAATCTATCTCGTGCAGATTGAGACAATTTTTAAGGGTGAAGCGTGCAATGAGATCAGGGAATCTGCATCGGGTTTGACCAAACGACTTGCACAGACAGCTAAGGATACATTCGGTGATTTTGAGGAAGCTGTTGAAAAAGATGCCACAAAAACTGCAGTGTTGGATGGAACAGTTCATCCTCTAACAAGCTATGTGATTAATTATGTCAAATTTCTTTTTGAGTGAGTACTTCTTATGACGATTTCTGAATATTTTAGTCCTGTTTGATAACCATCTGATAGTTTATTTTTGGTTATTGAAAATTATACTTGTTTTCTCACATTTTCTTTACAATGGCTTTCATCTTTCTTAAAGAAACACTTGAATTCTTAGCCAAATTTAAAAAACAAAAACAAAATTTTAGCTTAATTTTCCTGCTCTTTGATATCTCTTCAATTTCAGTCTATCTTATTTTTTGATCTACAAATTTCCTGTTGAAAAAATTTCAGCTATCAGGCAACCTTGAAGCAGCTTTTCCAAGAATTTGCAGGTAGCGGTCAAACGAGTTCGGAATTGGCGTCTGTCACAATGCAAATAATGCAGGCCCTTCAATCTAATTTGGACGGAAAATCTAAGCATTACAGAGATCCTGCTTTGACTCACTTGTTCCTCATGAACAACATTCATTATATAGTTAGATCTGTTCGCAGGTATGCTTTATAGATGCAATTTTTAGAACTTGTTTACATGTGCAAACTGTTACTTATTCAATGATTTTCATTTTAGATCTGAAGCCAAGGATTTGCTTGGGGACGATTGGGTTCAGCGACATAGGAGGGTTGTACAACAACATGCAAATCAGTATAAAAGGAATGCTTGGTCAAAGGTGATCTGATTTGATTATATATATAGTTGACAAGAAATAAATATTTTTTGTTGATATTTCAAAGTTACTAGCTAAAGACTTCTTATAGAAACAAATCAACAAAACCGACTTAAGACTGAACTAAACATTCTTAAATACATGCTTGGAAGTGATTTTGAAATGGTTATCACTTTTATCATGCCCAAAATTACACCGAAACATGCCTTAAAGCATTCAAAATCAACATAATGTTCGATTTTACAATTTCAAATATGATTTTCTTATCATAAAAATTGATTTTGAATAATTAGAAGCATGTTTTGGAGTGATTCTGAATACAACAAAAGTGATTTTAATAATTTTACCATGTTGTATTGCAGTAAAACACTCCTTAGATTGGTTTGTATGTTAAAATTAGTGGGTCAATCACCAGAAATTGAATAGATGATAGCGTGCAAGTTTAGAGTCCAATTTGGTAAAATAGTAGGATCTGAGGATGACTCGAGTAGACCTCCTAATCCTAAGAGTATCTAAGAACATCTCCCACGAGAGGGCTTATCATCGTGCTTTCCTCTAGCTCATCTAGTTCAACATAAGGTACTCTATTGAACGAAAATTGACAACTTAACAAGTTTAGGGATGAAAATCGAACGTAAGGACTTGTGTTAGTGTTATAAGAGAAAAACCGAGCATTTTAATAAAAGCTTAGTTTACTTGTACCCTGTTGTTCTATTTCATACTGAAGATAAGTAACTGCATTGCAGATTCTGCAATGTCTTTCTGTTCAAGGCTTAACTTCCTCTGGAGGTGGCAGCATACCTGGTATAGATGGAGGAAACAGTAGCGGAGTTTCTAGGGCGCTTATTAAAGACAGGTTACCGCCACAACACCTTTACGCAACTATATCTGTTCATCCAATGGACTCATTTTTTGTAATACTTAGTGTAATGGAGTATTATTGTATTACCAGGTTCAAGACTTTCAACATGCAATTTGAGGAACTGCATCAAAGACAATCTCAATGGGCAGTTCCCGATACCGAGTTGCGGGAGTCTCTAAGACTTTCAGTTGCTGAAGTCTTACTTCCTGCATACAGATCCTTCCTAAAGCGTTTCGGGTGTGTATTCCTGATCTCTTCCATAGATGTCATTGAAACACGTCGAGCATATTTGAAATGAGTCGTAGTTTAAATCGAGTATCAAACATAGATAGAAGTTTTAGTCCTGAGTTCATTGACTGCAGGTTGATGTCCTACGTCATTCTATCGATTTCGTAACATGCGTGTGAGCTTGTACATACAAGTTCTCATAGCAATGTTTCTCACATTTTCTTTAAATCTGCATTGCTTTCCATAGGCCACTAGTTGATGGTGGAAAGAATCCCCAAAAGTATGTTAGATACCAACCAGAGGATCTCGAGAGGATGCTTGGAGAATTTTTCGAAGGGAAGAACTTGAGCGAGCCTAAGCGGTAGATATGCAGTTTCTCGGTCTCTTTTCTAGCATCAAGATCGGCGTGGCTGACTTACCATCGTTGCTCCAAGCTGCCACCCTGTTGTTGGAGGTCCAAATCTTTTGAGGTTCCTTCTTTCATGAAGCTGGTGATAAGTTGTAGCATCCATGCGTAGTATGACACTGTTATCAGCATCTTGGCTTTGCATAGTTTCTTTGATTCTTTGCATTTTCCTCTTCTCTACCTTGTAAATATAGGGGTACTGTGAGGTGATACAGTGTTTCTCTCTTCTTTCATTCTTTCTTGTATCCACAGTGAATATCATTCGTGTATTAATATTAAGTTCTAACTATAACCGTTTATCATTAGTAGATATTATCCTATGGTTCGTTTTAGCCTGTTACATATCGTCGTCAACTTTACAGTTTTAAAATAATTGTTTGATTTGATCCTTTATGTATTGTCGTTAGTCTTATAATTTTAAAACGTATCTGCTAGAAAGAGATTTTCACACATTGTAACAAATGTTTTGTTCCCTTCTCTAATTGAAGTGAAATCTCACAATCCACTCCTTTTATAACTGTTCAAGTACTGGATATTGTCCTCCAACCACTCTTTAAAATAATTTTTAACTATTTAAATGGTAATTTTTTAAAATATATATTGAAATTGAGAATTAAAGTGTAAAAATGAATAAATAAATATTTTAAAAATTAACATTTTATTTTTATTAAAAATAAATATTTGAACCCATTGGACCGATTTTCTAAAACATAATTCTAACTTTTGTTTATTCCCATCTTGGGCTGATCTAACGGGCCGCAGAAAATCAAAGGCCCAATTATAAGTAGATCCATTGGGCTAAGGCATCTTGGATCCATAAGTAATAATATTATTGTCGTATTTTTTTTTTGTTAAAATAAACATTTATCTATATATTTATTATTATTATTATTATTTTTTAATTTGACAAATTTGAGTGGAGTGAATATAATAATTAATATATTAAGCTACAGATTCACAATATTAATCCATTTCAGAATTAGAGTCGTTTAGATTACATCTTTAATTTAAATGTTTTTAAAAAATGCATTTTCTTTTTAAGATTTTTTTTTTTAAAAATCGTTTTATATTAAAATATTTATATGCTTTGTTATATTTTCTCAAAAATATTTGCTCTACACCATGCATAATTAAACATTAAAAACTATTGAGTTGAAAATCGTAATTAAAATATTATGACCAACTAACTATCTTTGGCACCGCAAGAGTCATTGGAGCGGATGTTGGAGGTGGGCAATGTCATTGGTTGTCGGAAGAGTAGCGGATGTTGGAGGTGGGCAATATCATTGGTTGTCGGAGGAGTAGCGGATGTTGGAGGTGGGCAATGTCATTGGTTGTCGGAGGAGTTGATGGTGAGGTTTTCAGAGGTGAATGACGACGGTTTTGTCAGAGTGGTAGTTGGAGCTCAAGACGATAATGACTATGATGGAAGTGGAGGTGAAGTGTGAGGGTATTTTAGCCATTTTCTTAATATCATAAAATTTTGGATAAAAAAAATTCTTTTCATTTAATTTTTTTTTTTACTAACTTTAGAATTTATTATAATAAATATTTAACTTATCTTTTAAATATAAAATACTTATCTTTTAAAATATAACTTACTTTTTAAATATGAAGATAGTACTATACCTCTAATTTTCATTAATTTTCACTGTTCTCTATATTTTATATAATTTAATTGTAATATAATTTTACTAATTTTCCCATAGGGAAACATTTTATATTTAAAACATATATTTTACAATTTTTCAAATGAAATTATTCGTATTTATTATTATTATTATTATTATTATTTAAATTTTTTTAAAAATATTACCATTTATGATTTTAAAAATGATGTTTATAAACATTATTTTTACTTTGGAATTTCTTTGCTCTCTAATTTATTTTTAACTAATTTTTTTTTAATTTGAATAAAAATTCAACCTTTTTCTTAAGAAATATAAAAACATAGAGAAATTGTGAAAAAAATAAAAGTAATTTAAAAAAAATATAAAAAAATAAAATAGTTATCAAATAAGATTTTGAACGGTAAATAGTTAATCAAAATATTAGAATTTCAGATCAGAGAAATGAGAAAAAAAAATATTTTAGTGAGATAAAATTTAGAGTTATAAAATATACCAAAGAAATTTAGATTTTTTTTTTTCTATTTTTGGAGAGAAAAGTTAGAAATATATTTATTAGATTAAGAAAATTGGTTGACATTTTAATTTTCAAATTTCAACCCAATTTGACCACATGATCATCAGCAACTAAAATATCAATATCAATATATACAATACAAAAATGAAAAAGGAAATATTAAAACTCCCAAAAAAAGGGGAAAAAAAATGACGAAGAAATCGGGAACTCGCTACACGATTTCTCTGATATTATCATCATCTTCTTCTTCATCGGCCTCCTGTTGAATCGATCGATCCAGCGATCGCAGAGACGATGCACAAGAATAAGAAGAAAGTTCAGTGCATGAGTAATAATTTGAATCGGAATTAGAACAGGATGTTGATGTTGATGAAGAAGAAGATGAAGATGAAGATGAAGAGAGAAGAATATGGATCAGTAAATCAACAAAAGCCCCAATTATGAAGCCATGGTTGTTCTTCCAGTTAGCCTTCAAGTACCATCCCAAAAGCTCCTCCAATCCGTCCCAATCCCTAACATCAAGGCTCTCCACCATTTCCCCCATCGATTTCCTGAAATCCTCATACGGATTCGCCGATTCAATCGACACAATCAAGCTCTCTTTAAAACCTAACAGAGGTTCCGATTCAATCGGTTTCGATTTTTCCAGAATCGAACTCGTATCATCCGGTTCGAAGAAGAGCCGTTCCGATCTAGCGCCGCGGACGACGGTCTCGAGTGAATCGCCGTCAAGAATGTCGCGGTCGTCAGAATCGGTGGCTGTGGAGTTCGTTGCAGAGGAGTTGGTGAAGAGTGAAGAATCGAAATCGCGATCTTCGAAGAAGATAGAGTTCACAGTTTTGAAGACGACGCTGTTGTTTTGAGCACGGAATGAGTCGGTTTTGGGATGCTTGCAGGAAGGCCAGTCCCATGGCTTGGTGGAATAAGCATCGCCTGCTCTGGATTTGAAAATGGAAGGAAATTTCATGAGGTTCTTCTTCTTGTTGTGGTCGGCAGCCATTGGAGGTGTGAAGGTTTGAAGGTTTTTCGGAGGTGCTTCAATGGCGGATTTGGGAATTGGAGGGAGAGGTGAGATTTATGAAGGGAAGGCATTTGTTTGGAGAGAGATTTTGGGAATTTAAGGAGATGGGATTGGTGAGGGATTCTGTGAGTGTATTTAATTTGTAAGTTTCTACAATTTAATGCTCTCTCTCTCCTCTCTCTTTCTCTCTCTTCTTACTAACTGATCTTAACCGTCCTTTCTACTTTTCCAAAACTCTCTCTAATTCTTTCAAATAAATTAAATTATAATTCAAAAAATTGTAATTTTAAAATAAAATTTTAATATTATCCTTAAATTTTTTTAAGAAATAAAAAAAATACATTACCATTATTTAAATTAATATTTTATTTTTAAAATACCTTTTTCGTTAATATCCTTCAATATTGGTACTTGGTACGATATATAAAAAATATAATTTTTTAATAGACAGATACGGTTTATCTACGCTTCATAGATCATCTTTATATTTTTTATTTTTTTTTCTACAAAAAGTATTTTTTAAGTTTTTTCTAAAAATTTAAGATATTAATTATTTTTTTTTAAATTTATGGATATTTTTTAATTTTTTTAATTTTTTAAATTCATGGGTATTTTTTATCTTTATATTTTTTAATTTTTTTTCTACAAAAAAAGTATTTTTTAAGTTTTTTCTAAAAATTTAACATATTAATGTTATTTTTTAAAATTTTATGGATATTTTTTATCTTTATATTTTTTAATTTTTTTTTCTAAAAGTTTAAGTTATTAATGTTATATTTAAAATTTTATGGGTGTTTTTTATAAGTTATTGAAAGTCTTTTATATATATATATATATATATATATATAAATAAACGAGTATTTTTTCATATTTTTAAACCTCTATATATATATAAATAAACGAGTATTTTTTCATATTTTTAAATCTCTCTATATATATATATATAAATAAACGAGTATTTTTTTTCATATTTTTAAACCTCTATATATATAAATAAACGAGTATTTTTTTTTCATATTTTTAAGGAATAGTATTTTTTAAATAAATGGGAAAGTTTATATTTTTATTAATTTAATTTTTTAAAAATACTCTTACTCTTTCTAAAAACATTAAAAAATATTATTTATGGAACAATATATTTTTTTTTCATTCAAATTCTTTTTGAATATATGAGTTTTGTTTTTGTTTTTGTTTTTTTTTTCTGTGAATTTTTATATTATTATTAAATTAAACAAATGAAAATATAGTTATACAGTGGTTCTAATGCTTTATAAATATTTAAATAAATAATAGAATATCAAATTTTTTTATTAATTAACCTAATAAATTGGATCAAACCCGAAGTTATTAGCATTTAAAAGATGGTAACAACACATTGACCAAATAATCCCCCAAAACCAAAAATTAATATCTATTAACTCCAAAGATCGTAAGGGTATTTTTGAAATATTTTAAAAAGTTAAGGGTTAAAATGTAATTTTATCATCCAAATTTAACCGAGTTATTAATAGGGAATTATTATTAAAAATTTAAAAAAAATTATTTTAGTAAATGTTTAAATTTATAAAAATTTGAATTTAAATACTTGAAACAAAAATTACTAGTTTTACATTAAATGATTGTATTTTTTTTTTTTTTATAATTTTTTTTGCATTATCATAAAAAAAGATGTTAAATAAACAAAAGAAAGAAGGCAAAGGATGCACAATACCATGAAAATGATTAATTAGGAATAGTGATTTGTCAACGAATTGCCTCTTAGAGAAAGGCATGTCAATAGGGTTTTGACCTAAATGGAAGGGACAACTCGTACCCGAACAAGAAAGTTTCGACCCTACTATTCTCACTTTAAATTTTCGAATTTATCGTTCGGGTACTGTTCTATGAATCAAAATTTCAAAACTTTCTATAGAGAATTTGGATCAGTATCCGTTCGGGTACTGTTCTACGAATTAAAATTTCAAAACTTTCTATAGAGAATTTGGATCAGTATCTGTTCGGGTACTGTTCTACGAATTAAAATTTCAAAACTTTATATAGACAATTTGGATCAGTATCTAGTCTGTTTCCACGACGTTACTGTTCATATTGAAATTAGGGTTTAACCTTTTTCCCTCCCTCGAGAGGATACTTTCACTGTTTTTAAAGAAAATTATAAAATTGACGCTAGGTCATGAAAGGAGGTGAATTGTGAGATCCCGCATCGATTGGAAGGGGAACGAAACATTTTTTATAAGGGAGTGACAACCTCTCTCTAGCAGACACGTTTTAAAACCTTGAGAGGAAGCTCGAAAGGAAAGACGCTGGGCCACGAAGGAAGGTGAATTGTGAGATCCCACATCGGTTGGAAGAGGAACGAAATGTTTTTTATAAGAGTGTAGAAATCTTTCTCTAGCAGACATGTTTTAAAACCTCGAGAAGAAGCTTGGAAGGAAAGACGCTAGGCCACGAAGGAGGGTGAATTGTGAGATCCCACGTCCGTTAAAAGGGGAACGAAACATTTTTTTTACAAGGGTGTGGAAACCTCTTTCTAGCAGACACATTTTAAAACCTCGAGAGGAAGCTCGGAAGGAAAGACGCTGGGCCACGAAGGAGGGTGAATTGTGAGATCCCACGTCCGTTAGAAGGGGAACGAAACATTTTTTTTACAAGGGTGTGGAAACCTCTCCCTATTAGATTAGACACGTTTTAAAACCTTGAGAGGAAGCTCGGAAGAAAAAGTCTAAAAAGGACAATATATGCTAGTGATGAACTCGAGCTGGTCCACGAAGAGTGGATAACGTTTAAAAATTAGTCATCGAAGCACGTTTTTGCTCGTGAAAATTTAAGATTAAGATAGAACGAAAAGCCTCGAGAAAATTGGGTGGGAAAAGAAAAGGACACAAGTAGGGTATGATAAGAAGGAAGGGGGAAGTTCATGTGAATTGTTTAATGAGGGATGGTGGAATCATGCACAAAATACTCGAAATTAAATTTTGTATTTTTTTTTAAATATTATTAAATGAGGAGAGACTTTGGTTGGGGACTTCAAAGATGGGCTTCTCATTTATTATTTATGACCAGTTTTATGGCTTTTTCCTTAAAAAAAATAAATGAATAAATTATTTTTTCAAATTTATGTCTCATCGGTTACTATATATATATATATATATATATATAACCAAATTAGCTTGTATTTATTGTTAATATATATATATATATATATATATGAATTATTGTTAATATATATATATATATTTACATACAATTACATATTCAAATTTTTATGGATAAATTAATAAAAATATTAAAGCGAAAAATAAAAATATTAAACTTTTTCGCTTTGTCTAAAAAAAAATACAATTTTCAATAATATACTCATTATTGAAAAAAAATATTTTTTAATTATTAATTTAATTTTTTTATATTTAATTTCATAATTATTTTTTTGATTATTTATTTTTCAACCCGTCTTAAAAATAAAATTTTAATTAACCAAAAAATAAATTTTGGATATATATTTATTAAAATTGAGTTAGTAAAACTTAATTAAAATTTTGAAAATAAATAAAAAGATTTTTATCTAAAAACTAACATTTTAATTTTATTTAAAACAAAAAAATTTAAATAAATGATTGTTTGTGTTGAATTAATTATTTAATAAAAATTGTTTGAGTTGAAAAAATTATAACAGGAACAATTGAGTTGGGTCTACAAAAATGTTTCAACTCGACTCAACCCAACCCATGAACACTCCTAAGTGACTACTTAGTTGTGAGCATATAATGTTTCAACTCGACTCAACCCAACCTACGAACACTCCTAATTTAGTTGTGAGTATATAATGTTTCAACTCGACTCAATCCAACCCACGAACACTCCTAAGTGACTACTTAGTTGTGAGCCGATAATATTTTAACTTGACTCAGCCCGACCCACAAACACTCCTAAATGATTGCTTAGTTGTGAGCCTATGTCTTAATTAATTGAGTTATGTTTGTATCCATTTTTTTAAGTTCAACCCCGAGTGTTGGAAGATTTGAACCCTTGACCTAAGGCCATGTATCCGAACATTGAAATATACAAAATATAAACGTTTACATGATTTATTTATTTATTTATTTTTGTTCAGTTTTTTATTTGAGTGGGGTAGTTGACCCACTCCATTGACAATTATAAATATTTTTCATAATAAAAAGGAATCACGTTAGCCAATGATTTTAGCTCCATTTATGGAAGATTTTTAAAAAAACCTTCCAAAAATGGGGAAAGCACAAACCTTTTTTTTTTTTGTTGGTTTAAATTAATAAAAATATTTCCAAATTTTGATTAAAATTTAAAAAATTCCGACAAAAAAAATAAAAAAAATCAAATATACTTTTATGGTAGCTTGGATGGAAACAATTATTTTTTTGTTATTTTATTTTGAGAATATCCTTTAATACTTTTAAAAAAATTAAAATTTAAAACAATATCCTTATTTATATATTTTAACTCCATCTAAAAAAATACATTTTTACTTAAATAAATATATATTTTTTTTACCGCAAGGAAAGGACAAAATCTTTATACATTTCAAAATTATGTATTAATTTTCAAAAGTAGCATTAATACCCATAATTTTATAAAAAAAATTATTATCGTTACTATAGGGATGAACGGGAACGATTTATTTACATTTCATAAATCATCAAAATAAACGATTTCATTCATATATTAACAATAATAACTTTAATTTTTAAATTTTTTTAACGGTATTAACGCTAATTTTGAAAGTTAATAGGTATTTTTGAAACATGATAATAACGATTCCATCCGTATATTATTTGTAATGATATTTTTGTATTATTTTTTTTTAAATTAAGGTATTAATGAAACTTATTTATGAAACAAAACATTAACGATTTCGGTTCTAAAGAAACAAATATTGAAATTTTTGTAAAGTTCGTTAGTTCTTGTGAGACAAAGTAGAAAGTTTAATATATTATTATTATTATTATTATTATTTTAGCCTTTCATTTAAAAATTAAAAATATAAACATTTTCTTTATAAAGTTGTGTTAAAAAAAAAGTCCAACAATAATATATATACTTTGTATCTATATATCCCATGTGGTTGGGTCCCTTCCATGTCTTTTATTTAT